CTTGAAAGGCGATGAAAAGTACGTCGACCTCTATGACGACTCGTGACGGCCTGCACGGGTCGCCCTGGTCGCCGTCGCCGTCTCGCCGCCTCATCCGCCAACACGGCCGTCGCCGCCAGGGCCGCCACTGCCATCGCCATCGCCATCGCTGCTTCGCCCACCACTACCAGGGCCGTTGCTCTACCGCTCCCCAAGCGTATTGCCGGTGCTGTCACGGGCTGCCACTCCTAGTACCTTGCTGCTCGGCCGCGTTCAGTCTAGGTCGACACGCTACCCTGCCGTTCGGGCGCCGCTCATCGCTTCGCAGCGAGCCCGGGCTCTGTAAGCATCTCCGTCGCGAGCTGCGTACGCCCCGCGGGTCCGTGTGACTGTAGCTGTATCTCCCAAACATCTCTCGCAGCTCAAAGCGATCTCCCCTAATCTCCACGGCTCGAGATTGCACGAGATAAAAACGGCGCTTTCGAGGTGAGTAGAAAAATAAGGTTTCCGCGCCTCTTCTCACTGCTCGCCGCCGCGCAGGCGCGTTCCGGGGGCCCAGTGGAGCATTTCATCCAGTGGCGGCACCGGCTGGGGTCTTGACATAGTGGTGAACACACACCCAACACACACCGGCACAACCTCACTCAGTCTCACTCAGAAGTTCACGCGCTCTGGGCGTGCATCTCCTCCAAATGGAGCATCACCGCCTGCAGCACCGGGTAAACCTGCGGTGGCATCTCCTTCCAGCCGCCGCGCGCCACAGCGTCGCTGCTCACCCCTTGCGGGGCATCCATCAAAGGGTGGAACATGGCAGAGGCATCCCTCTTGCCAAATTCGTGGCAGAGGAGGAAGAAGTTGTGCACGAGCGACGCCACCACGGTGCGCGAGAAGTACCTCTCGTGCAACTCGAGCTTGTCCGAGAGTCGCATGTTGGTCTCCAGTGACATCATCAGCATCTGGAACGGGGAGTGCACGCCCGCCGCAGCCCCAGAGCAAGGGACGCAATGATCGGCACTAAGCTGATCCTTGGCGACGAGCCCCGCGCACTGGCGCCACGAGCAGGGATACCGTTTATAGGCGTTCGTGATCGCCGACGACTCGGACTCGAAGCCGCTCAGCGCGTCGACCAGCGACAGGTTCAGCCCAACATAGCGGTAGAGCATCTGCAGCTCTGTCGGCCTGGCTACCAGGATTGGGCGGCCCTGCTGATCACGTCCGACCTCGAGCGTCCCCCGATCGGCGAGGAGGTTGCGCCCGTTTTGACTCTCGCGGAAGACCCCCGCCTGCCGCAGGACGAGTTCGCGGGCGCCGGTCGCGGCGCCACCAAAGTGGATCGCTACTGTCGCAGGCCGCCCCGGAGCGCGGCGACGGGGCGTATCGGCGATGCGCCCCGTCGCCGCCTCCGCCAGCCGGTCATCCCACCGTTGCTCGGCGCGACGGCCGGTTGGGCGTGGCCGGCGGCAGCCGCCACCCTCACGCTCTCGATCTGCCAGTATGCGCCCCGAGAGCATGCTGAAACCTTCAAAGGCGCGCGTCGCAGCCTGAGACGCGCCCGCCGCAGTGTCATCGACACGCCTGGCGCAGTCGTCTATGGACCGCTTCAATCCATTGAAAGCACGTGCGAAGTCAGCTCCCGTGAAGCCGCACTGCTGTGGCTGCACGTGTTGGTCTCGACAAAGCTGGTGTCGTTGGCGATGGATGTCGCCGCCGCCGCCGTCAAGAGGCGGGAGGAAGGGTGGCACGTCGTCTGCCGCCTCGTTTGCTGCTTCCATCGCCAACTCGGCTTCAACGGCGGCCATCACTCTCTTCGCGTGAGCGAGTATCCCTGCCTCCTCCGCCTCCTCCGCCGCCGCCGTCTCCGCCGCCGCCGCCGTGCCGGCCGCCTCCACCGCCGCCCCCGCCGCCGCTGCGGCGTCCGCCCCCGCCTCCGCCTCCGCCTCCGCCGCCGCCTCCGCCGCCGCCTCCGCCGGGGGCGGGTCCAGAACCCAGGCCGGAAGCTCGGCTGGCGGCTGGCCGGGGTCGAGCTCGGCTGCTCGCTGGCCGGCGCCTTGCTCGATCGAGGCTGAACTCGTCGTGGCGCCGGCCACAGCAGCCGGCGGTGGTGCACGGCTGGCGATGGCAGGCCCACACGCACCCCCCTGGGCCCACGGCGACGGCCCGGCGGCCGTGAAAGGCTGTGCCGCAAGAGTAGCCAAGGCTGGCCTCGAGCTCTGCCGCGGCGCCGGCACCGCCCAGGGGGAAGCGTGTGGCACGGCGCCAGGTGACGTGTTGGCGGGTGCGGGCGGCGGCGGTCCGGTGCGTCTGGCAAAGGGAGACGCCGACGTTTGCTCCGTCAGGGCCGACGGATGCGACGGTCGAGCGAGGCTCGCACCCGAGGCGCATGGGGGCTGACTGGCTTCAGCCGGTTGCCTCGCATGGCGAGCCCAGGGCGACAGCTCCGCTGCGCGCTTTCGGTCGTCGGCGGCCGGTGCAGACTTCAGATATCCATCGCGCCACATCGCACGCGGCTCGAAGGGAGCGTCGACCGCCGAGTGCGCCTTCTCGGCGAGGGCGCTTGTTCTCTTCGCGCGGCTGTCTAAGCGCCAAGAGACCGTCGTGCAGTGCAGCCTGCCCTCTGTGTCGAGTCGCTGAGAATAAGAAAAAAAGAGGCAAGAAATAGTGGCAACCAGGAGTACTTCACTCTTTCATACCAAGTACTTTTTGTAGACCGTTGGCCAAGTGTAGGCTCTGGGTGCACAGCCTGTGCGAGGTGTTTGGGCGATTTTTCTTTTCAGGAGGAGGGTATAGCAGTTCTCTCGCGTTCGAGAGAGAGAGAGATTTTTAGAAGCCAACCAGAAATGCGTGTGCGCTACAATATCCATTAACGGTTTTTAGAGGCGGGAGCAATTGGTCTAGTCCCGGGCAGGCACCAGCCACAAAATCAGAGCGAGAGCGTCGTCTGCTAACCCTCAACTAACAAGAAAGAAAAGACCATCCGTCAGCACAGACCGACCGGGCACACGGTCACAGCTGTCACAGAGATGCAGGAGGCTCGGCGCGCCTCCCTACCTGCACGCGCCGCACTCGTCTACCCACACGCGCGGTGTGCGCTGCGTCGGAAGTGGGGTGACGCCCAAGGCGGCGGCACCACACACGTGGAGCTCAGGCAAAGCAGCATAGTCGGCACGTTCTTCTTCACTGATGGTGTTGACAACAGCTGCGATGTCTGAGGCCCGCTTGGCATTGCGGGCAGCTTTACTGCCTCGGGGCATATATGCGCGGGCCACAGCGGCGCGAATGCCGATGATGGACGGTCGATTACTAATTGAGACTTTCACAACGCATTGTCGTGAACACGTTTCGGGACGGTTTGGAAAAATTAAATGCCTTGCACGGCCCATTGTCGCTCCTGGGCCTTTCCATTTGGTATTTTCGTGCCGCGTCTCCCTCGGACGCAATAAAAGGCGCACGGCAACAAGTTGCTCGGTCCTTGGGAGCCGCATACTGAGGAGGAGAAGCAGTTTTTCTGCGTATCGCAGGGAAATGGACCCGCAAGCGCGTGCGTGTTCCGTGCTTCCGTCTGCCAGGCGGCAGCATTTCAGGTCTCCTACCTGGCTGCCCTGGCTGCACACCTTGTGGATGCCGCATTTGAGCAAGCACACGAACTGTGGGTGGGCGCAACAGAAGATAGTTTATTTCCGGCTCCCGTGCTAGTGGCAGTGCGCGCGAGTCCGGCGCGGAGTGGGGCCGGCGTCGGTGCACACATAAGAATTTCTCGGGACTCGGACAGACACTCGGCCCAGATTAAAGAAAGCGACCGCGCCGGATACACAGCCGCAGGATACACAGCGCCGCAGGGAGACGCAAAGGACCTGGGGCCGCGGTGCCAGGCCGTGGCCAGCCCGTGGCCGTGCCCTCCGCCGCCGACAGGACTCGAGGCCTCATGGCGGGCGCGGCGAGCAGCAGCTGGGACGAGGGACTTGGGAGCGAGGAGGCGGCCGGCGCCGCCGACGCGGGCGCCGACGGCATGGACATAGAGGTTGGTGGGGACAAGGCTCGAGACGGAAGGCGCACGCGGCGCGCTCTTTGGCCTACGTGAGGCCAGGCCGACCGTTACTCCACTCGCCACACCAGCCCGCGGCTGACACGGCACGCGCCGGCCGAGGAGGAGAGTCAAGACGCCGCTCGACGCCTCTCGCGAGCGCCGTTGCCGGCTCGCAGAGACGGAAGACGAGGAGGTCGGTCGGGCGCCGCGTCGAAGGAGCGGGGGGCGGCGTGGGCGCAGCCGGCCCCGCCGGCGCGAGGCGTCGCGACGGCCGCCTTGAGTGGAGGTCCCTCCGCCGAGGCCGTCTCGCCGAAGGCAGCCGCTCGGCAGGCTTCCGGCTCGCTTCGGCCGTCGGCAGAGGGGCTGCCGAGGAGCACGCAGCCGCCGGAGGGAGCCGCACGCAGCCGGGGTGGGGCGCGGCGGCAGCCGTCCGATTTCGCACTGTGGAAGACACGCGAAATCGGACGCGGTCTATCGACGCCTCACAGCCCAGGAGGACAAAAAAGAAATACATCTCCGTCGTAAGAAAAAGCCTAAAACGGCGCTTCACCACTTGAATGGCATTCGCCTCGGCCGGCCTGCCGCCGCCGGCGCTCAACGCTGCCGCTGCCGAGGGCGCGGCGCGCGGCCGCGACGGCGCCATCGAAGGTGGGGCGGAGGGCGTCGGCCGCTCGAGAGCGGTGACGGACGCGTCGGCGGTGGGGAAGGTGGCGGAGGCGACAGCGCCACAGAGGGCAGTGACGGAGAGACAGCGGCGAAGGGCGAG